ATAAAGGTCACAAAGTTTTCTTGTTTAACTACATCCACAAAGGCTTGCCCAGATTGAGATTCAAAATGTGGCAACTCTGTGGAAGTGTATAGGCGTTAACTTCACAAGGAGCGTTGAAAAGGTTCACAACAAAGAAGATTTTTGAAAATCGAATTAAATAGATGCATTCTGACACATTTTTAAAACATTTGTTAGATATAAAGTGGGGGTACAAACCATGTTTCTACAGGGACAAAGGCCCTCCACCCCTTCAACTTTCAAGCACAACTTAAGGAAACCAGTGCATTGTACCTGTAGCATGGTCCGTTTCTATGGATATAGTACCTGTTTTAACAACATAAGTATGATTGGAACCCTTATATTGTATCGCTTACTATGTGATCTGATCCTTGTCTTAAATAAATTGTGAAATGCATAAGATAGTAATTATTTAGGAGTATTTACACACATAGGGCAATTAAAACTTATATTACTGGACAGGATATGATCATCACTTGTAATTGAATTCAATCATGATTTAATCAATAACCGAGTTGTAATACAGAAATTCTACTGATTGTCTGCATCTTAAAAGAAACTGCAAAGAGAAGCAAAAAAACTTAACAAATTGGACAAATTTGATTATTGAAACTACATTTCCTTAACTAATGAGATTTAATCATAATAATTCATATCTTAAAACATTTAAAATTTGAAGAAATATTTTCTCTTAAATCACGACTTTTAAACATCTTGTAGAATAATCCATTATTGAACAAAGTCTGAAATGAATAGCATGTGTAGCACATTTCGATTTTAAAATCTACAACTCGTGGTTTCTCTTCAATAAATAAGATTAATGTTCAACTTCTACTGATCTTTCACTTGACACTAATCTTTCATTTCATAGATTTCTTCCTGGTTTTTCAGCTTGGATTACGATATTGGAAGTGCATCTATCAATTCAATACCAGTTTGAATTTATCTAATAAAACATCTTATTTCTTAATTCATGTGTAACTAGATGTTTCCTTATCAGTTTAAAAAATTAAGTATCATTCAGCAATCTTTGAATTCTTTTTGCCTAATTAAGATATTTTTAAGGTCAAAATCTGCTTGCAAATTTCATAAGTTTTTTTAGGTAGAAAAATCAATGTAACATTCTCTCTTCTTTCTAAGATGTATGTTTTCTTTCAACTGAAATGATTTTTAAAACGTGTATTTTAAGATTTATTTGAATTAGATACTTGTAAGTTAAATGAAGAATGATTTCAAGCTATATTTCATTGTACTAATTCTTTTCGCAACTGATTTTCTACAACAGATGATATAATTCTTCTTAAGATATGTTGATAATAGCACATCTGAGTAAATAATCTTATTTAGATATCCACTCATTTCACAGAAAAAAAAAGTAAAACTCCAATAAATCTTGAGAATTTATAGAAGTTTCATTAACGATGTAAAAAACAGAGATGCCAAGGGAAGTAATATTATGACATTAAATCAATTTATTTTGTCAAGCTTGTACGAGGTTTTATTATCAATATTAGATAGGGATTGTTGATTTTCTTGAAAAAACTTTCCTGTGTAATATTGTTAAAATTGATTGTAGATTTTGATACAAGCTGAGAGGTACTTTAGAATTTTCTGTGCAATACAAATACATTCTTCAGCAATAATTTTTAAAATGTTGAGATTTTGTGTACTGTTCTATGACATCAGCGTTCATGTGAGATTATAAAGGAAGTTTTCATAAAGAATTTCTGCAAAATCAAACCTTTGAAAGTATTTTCATTTAAAGAAACTAACTGTCCTGATGAAGATTGTATATCTAAAACACAGGTGTGCCATTTTTTTGGATAGATCATGCTTTAGACTCAGAAACAGGAATTTTTTCGCTAAGCCAATAAGTAATAGTGATTACAGCTCTCCGTCAAAATTTGAGCCTCTAAATCCATGTTTGTCCAGACCAAAATCAACCCCCCAAATGGCGGAACTGTCCCTTTAAACAATTAATAAAACAATAAATTCTTTAGCACCATGTGATACATTGAAAATGTAAGATTTCTCATTAAAATTTCTGTATCTGATTTTTATTCATCATTTAAGCTGATTGAAAAAATACCTTCCTAGTGTATGATATAATTATCTCTATTTTAAATAGTAGCTTGTATTCTGGTCTTGTCTGTTATTCTTCAACCCCTTACAATCTGTGATATATGTCTCCTGGTGGCTAAGGAAATAGTTTTAATTTAGAAATGTCACAGGGTTAGACTTGAGTTTGTCATGATTGAAAAGATCATCATGTTCCAATTGTCATAAAATACAAGTTGTGTTATGTTTATTTTGAAGAGGTCTGGTCAATCTAATATCAAGAGTGGGAAAGAATGGGGTATATTATCAGTTTAGAATGGGAGTGTGTCTTCAGTTTATGTGGTTTGATGGAATGGAGGGTAAATTGAGTGCTATGTTTTGACATTATATGACAAGCTGTGAAGTTTTAAACTTAAGACATTTTCAAGTATTTGTATGTCAAACTGCTTCCAGTGGCTTAAAAAATGTTGGCAGATATGACTTCAATACTACATATATTCTTGTCAAAAACTCAACAACTAACAAGAAAGTAAAATTTCAAGTTATCATTTCAACAAATCTGGAGAAAAATATTATTTATTTTCTGACAATTTTGAATTTTCAATTTACATTTCATCTTATATATCTAACACATAACACTTTAACACAATTTGCCATTCAATTTTTAACTGAATGATACTTAAAAAGTTATAAAAAATAATTTTCATTTTCTAGATAACTTTCTTATATCTAACACAAAAAATTGTTATTTCAATTCATTTTCAAAACAAATATCACATGATTCTTGACATCTCTTGATTATATTTTTAAATTTTCTGAATTTCTTTAAATGCAACACTCTAAAACTTTGCCAGTGTTTGAAATAAATGACATGAGTTTTCAATAATTTCATATTTCACGATAACTCTCTTGACAACACTTGATCGCATTTTTGAGTTCAACAATCAACAAATTCATTTCCAGTGAAACTATTGACTGAGCTACTTTATATAGAGATATAGAACGTAAGAGATGATATGGGGACAATGGTAGAGAAAGTTTAGAATTGATCTGTTAGTTGCGTGAGATGAGATGTGGTGATTGTAACACAGAATGAAATATCATCAGTTATCTTACAATTGATGGTTTAATATTCTGCTGATATCAGGTTGTAGGAATCTCGACCAGTGTATATAGATAGGACTATCAGGTCTTCTGTGAAAGAGTTAACAGTATGAGAGAAGACAAGGAAAATTGTCTTCAATGAGTAGATGTTGCTAACTGGACAGGATAATGTGTTAATCTTGAAGTTTTTTGTGAGAAACGTGTTGACGGCATTCTTAAAATATCATTCCATTGCCAAGAAAGTAGCTAAAAGTACAATATAATTTGTATATGCTATGTGTTAATATGATATGTTATAGTTCTGTAATAGTACTGAAATAATTTGGTTATCTCATCAGCTATTCTAGAAGGGTTTGATGCCTTCTTACATTATGATAGCTAGTAGTATGTAATTGAATCTATTACCATTGATAAGATGTAATAAGTGCTAATAAGATAAAATCATTATTTCACAACCAATAATTATAATATTAGTGGTGTTAACAAAGGAATAATGTACTTATCTTGTAAGATCCTGTGAGTCTTGAAGGTCTCAAGATTATTAGCGTTTCTTTTGCTGATAAGACATAGCTAAATGGACAATTTTACAAAAAGTTGTTACTATGGAAGTGGAATAATGTTTTTATCTTGAAAGTTCCTGTGAGTCTTGAAGGGTTTGATGCCATATTAACAGGAATGAGATTAGTACTATCACTTGCAAGGAAAAGCTAAATGGAAAATATTATAGGAGTGATATAGTTATTACAGAAAGTTGTTATTATGGTAGTGGAATAATGTGTTTATCTTGAAGGTTTTTGTGCCATTCTAAGAGTCTGAAATTATTGGTGTTGCTGCTGTTAGATGTAGCTAAATGGACAAAATATGTTGGGGATGTAATTATTACAGAGGGTTGTTGTAGTGGTGGAATAATGTGTTTATCTTGAAGGTTTTTGTGCCATTCTTTTCAGTCTTAGATAATTGGTGTTACTGCTGTTAATGGGACTATTCGGTTGTCATTCTAGGTTCAACACTTCCAATGTCTAGGTAGAGTTTTGACAGATGTAAAACTGTTAGCAATGTTAAGAGGTAGCTAAATGGACAATATTACGTTTGTTGTTATTACAGAAGACTGTTACAGCAGAATAATGTGTTTATCTTGACAGTGTCTTCCGAAGCATTTGCTGATACTTAGATAAGAATAACTTCTACTATCAATAGAAGATTAAATTTATTTCTTCCACTGATGGGTATAATGGGTATAATGGAATGAGAGCTGATCAGATACATCTAAAAGAAAACTCTTGTATGAATGTTGGTATATTATGTTCCTGTGTATGATTGGAAAGATTAAATGGAACTCGTATTTTGATTTTTGTTTAATTGAAGAACTTGAGGGGTAAAGACCAGTTTTTGTAATCCTTCATCTGAAAGAAATGCTGTTAGACTAGAAGTGTATCAGTGTGTTGATAGTTCTAATCTGTATATGATTCAAAACATGAATTGGTCACATGAACTTAAGCAATAGTTAGTTTAAAACTTTAATACATCTGGAAACATTTTAGTACAGGAAAGAATTGTATGTGACTTACTGGAACACAACTTAGAACATAATATAAAATGTGTCATGATTAAGTAGATCAACAAAGCTAGGAGGAACAGATTCCTGCAATAAATTTAACCTTGTGAAAATTGAACTTATTAATATAATATACAGAGGAGAAAGGATTCAGATTGTATTCAAATTCTGTGATAAAGTTTAAACATACCGAAAAATCATGGATCTTTGTGTGATTGAAAATTTGAAAGATTTATAAGTATCTGTGTTCTTAAAAAGTGTCAGCATGGATTTAACAGGCTATATAATACTTATAGCTGAAACAGCTGAGAAATGTGTTAAATTATTTGGTAAGTTTTCAACAGTAAAATAGAAATGTAGAATAGAAATTCTGTAAATTTATTTATAAGATGTTGTGGCTCAATTTTCATAGTTTGGCCAATCCACTTATTGATGTTCACACCAAATGTATACACCTGAGTTCATTAACTGTCGTTACCTGTATATATTGATTAGAAGGTGATTAACAAACAATTTTCTATAATAATCAGGTATAAAAATAATCAGATTAGTTCAGGACAAGAAAACAATACATTTAGGAGTATAATTTAATACCTATGAAAAGATTACTAAACCACTAAACTGCCTTTCAAAACAGGCAAATTGTGTCTCTGAATGAACTGTTAACCATCAAGATAAATAGAAACTTTTTAATGATAAAGGGACTGAACTGAGTCATACCTATTTTCATTTGAAGTCAAAAAGATTTACTTCTTTGAAGTTTTATACTAAGGTTATTGGAAAGTAAGTGAATGGATAATATTACATAATTTACTATATATTTGTACAGATGATTGTCTCCATCAATCAAAAACCATTTCTCTTAAAGCTGCTGTCTTTAAATGATAACTCGCTTGCTTCATTTTGAATGTTCTATTATGAAAATTTTGTTTATACAACCTTAATCTACAATTAAGTTCAGAACCATCGAATCAAAAAATGGCCAGAAATTAAAACACATAAATTAATATTTGTATATACCAATGATCATCTTTGCCAATTCTTTGTGGTCTGGTTTTTGTTTTCAATCTCTACCACCAAGGTATATCTCCAATTCACTGAATGATTGATATTATCAATGAAGCAGGAAACTGTCCTTTTCAGAATACCTGATGTCACTCTATAACTATAGTTGTTTACGTGGTATCAGGGGTCCTCAAACCGATGCATTTGATATTTTGTATAGCGGTATTAAAGGATCTCCAGCATATCTCTGATTGATGGATATTTATAATGACAAATGTTTCCTTTTCAGAATACCTGATGTCACTCTACTCTACAACCATATTTGTTTAACTAAGATATTTCATATAGTACAGGATCTCATACTCTTTATTTCAGGATCACCAGCAGACCGTGTTGATCTATCAGTTGGAGATGAAATAGTAGAAGTCAATGGTATGTTGGTAGAAAAATGTTCTCATTCTGAGGTTATAGCCCAGATTCATAAGGTCAGTAGCTGAAACATTCCAGGAAATTTGATAACCCATTTTCTCTTCGGTCTCTCGATACAGCGGGATTCCAGCTCTTCAAAATGTTAACATAGTTAAACTTGAAACGTGGAATTGGTTGCCACTTTCATCAACCCAAATAGATCTACAATCTAAGACTCTCAGTAGTATATTAAATTTAAGTCATACAGATATAAATGATGAAATGTGATTCTATGAATATTTTGTATAGACAATGCTTTCTATATTGTAATGTTCTTCTTCAGTATCCCAAGGCTATTAGTGCAAGACAATTTGAAATATTTTAACTCCTAATTTATTTCTTGCCAATCTGAATTTTAAGAACTCTCTGTACGCTTTAAAGATTTCCGAGGACTTTTTGCAATTACTTGGTGTTTTTGTTTAAACTTTGTAAAGTCTGAGTTATACTATTGACTGTTTAAAAGTTAATTTATTCAGAAATAAGTGAAGTAAAGAAGACAAATAACATTAAAATTCCAGTTTGACAGAAAATGACATTTTATTTTGACTTTTTGTCATGTAAAAGGTTGAGTTGTTGAAACATGTTAGATCAGATAAAACAGGTTGACTGAGGAAGTTTTTTGTCATTTGTAAGTTTCTCACATCTACATCAGCATATTAGTGCATAAAATTAATGGTGGTAAAACTATCATTATTCATGCATCACCTCAAGTCATCTGAAAGTATAAATGTCTGTTTACTTTAATGAGTTATCATTGTGTGGTTGTCGCTGTCTATCTATCCATCCAAAATTGAATTTAAATGTGTTTGAGATTTTATCCAATTTAAAAAAAAAAAAACCCTGGATATTCATATTAGTGTGAAAGCGGCTTATTTGACCAGTTAATCTCAGTCTAAGAAACTCAAACGTAATTTGTTAAATTGCTAGTCAATAAATAAATTTATGACAACTAACTAACTTTGATATTTAATGGAAATATGATTTATCACAACATAAGGCTATTGGCTATCAGTAACATCATCAACACTTAGTTTTAGGCAAATTGCAGGAACCGCAGGAGGTCTGATTGAAAATTGGAATAGGACAAATTAATGTCCTCGATACACATACAAAATTTTAGAAACCACTTTCCAATTTGACAAATTCATCTTGGAATAGATAGAAAGGCTACTTAATAAGCTATGGGTAGATTCAGTTGAATGAATGAATGTAATATATCTTCAAACATTTTATCCCAAATTAAAACATTGATGTAATCCTCTGTACTATAAACACCTGTAATTAACCTTTACACCTGAGTTAACGAGATTTTACCTGAACAGGATGGAAATTGTTTATATTTGTCATGATGTAGGGGGCCCTGTATAGGTTTGACCTAAATAAGACCAGTCACAGCGGCCATCTTGAATTGTTAACATTATTCAGTAATGATAAAGGACAGTTAGTAGTGTTTTGGACTAGAGAGAAGGCTAGGATGGGATATTTCTAGTCACTATCTCTTATTTTATTATGAATTTTAATTGATTTTACCAAGTGTTTTTAATGATTTGGAAATTTTACCTGGATTTTTAATTTGTTAATTAACTCAGGTGTAAATTGAGGTGTTTTGTCAGGTGTGTTGTCATTTCTATCTCTTGTCACTTGACATTTTATCTTTCACCTTCCTCTCACCTGTGATTATCAAACATGGCTACTTGTTTATCATCAATATTCAAAAGGGATTCTGACTAAAATTAGAGGTGGGTCAAGAATTACCTGAAAGTCAGGTGTGAAATCCAATCAACATGTCATGAATAAGAAAGAGAAATATATTGATTATAATAGCCTAGTCAATGACCATTTCCTAGTATCACAGTCTCAGACTTACAGGAATAACCAGCAGATAGTCTTTGACACTATTCCATACTGGTATATAAACTCAGACTTGATGCTTGTAATAATATAAATTTTTGCTTTGAGATAGATTTCAGTATGTAATTGCACTTACTTATTGTACTTGATAATTGCTGAGATCCCTAAGAATATTTGCCTAGTTTAGATACCCCATTCATTTTGATGATGCTCTCGTTCTCTTTCTGATGACAACTTAGTAACTTTTTACTTCTTCTATTGCATATAATATAGGTTTACTGTGTAATTCTATGAGTAATATTATATATTTGAAGAGAATAAAACAGATATATGCTTCTGTGTATAATATGTCATTCAGGGGTTGTATAATATCAGAACAGACCAAATTCTTCAGAGATTAAACTACTAAATAAGAAACATATATTATACCTGATACAATGTCTGTGTCAATTTCATTTACTACTAACAACTACATAATGATATCTTATGAAAAAATTACAACTTTGATAACCTGTAGATATTTATGATACGAGAGATGTAATACGAGAAAATATTGCTTTAATATACAAATGATGCTGGCGCTATAACTAGAGGTTCTAATTGTCTTCTGTGATAAAGCCTGATAATAGAAAGTCTTTGACTATATGTAGATTACTCTATTTAAAACATTGCTTCAATGTAGAACCGGCGCTATAATTCTATGTCTTCTGTGATAAAGCCTGTGACAATACAACATTGTCATTCTATTTCTTCTATTGCAGTGTATTAAATCTAAAGCTATTTGTCTGAGAGTAAGGCGTCGAAGAAAGAATAAGAAAGGTTAGTATAAAATTACACATTACCTTACATTAATATGATTGCTGTTGAACATTGTAGAAACATTGGACTGGTGGACAACATTCAATTCATTTCTGAAATAGTGGCTTATGTTACCCTCATTTGAACAGTAACTTTCTGATATCCATTTGTTAAATTCTTATGAATTTATTATACTGATGGCAATTGCACTTCTTTTTTGGAATATTTTTTGGTTTTGTTGTGCAATGCAGGAGACAAATCAGTACTGGATCATGACACTATATTTGTGCTATATCCTTAAAAAAGTGTATGATAAGCTTATATGATTTAGAGACAGAATTATTTGTCAATGCAATCAAAGGATCTTCCTTTTTCCTCATAATGCTTGAAAATTACCACTGTCATATTGATGTCCTCTTTAACCTATGATTGAAACTAGACAGCAACAAATCCTTGAGTGAAATGAGTGCATATGATATTATTGTATGTGGTACGACTCAATGTGACCTTCTTACATGATATAGATACATATTATAGTATTATTATACAGGTTATTTGCATTATGTTATTATATTCATCTCTGCTTTATAGTCATGTATATTTTGTCAGCTACATTTAAATATTCATCAGAGCAAAATATGCCAGGTCATAAATGAGTTTGACTTTGTGTTTTTCTATATTTTGTTTTGTGAATTTGACTCAAATTGAATTTGACCTTGTTACATTGTATGAGAACATAATACCTTGATATAATATCTATTATACATTGAGATAACTAATAACACTGTATTAGTCTATATATTAAACTTTTAAGATAACAATGACTCATAACTATAAAACAGGTCTTGGGTGCATGTCATAGATTAAATTTTACCACATTTCAAGCTCAGTAAAACTCAGTATTTTGCTTGAGTGGACTTATTAAGACAGGCAATTCAGATTGCACAAACAAATTTATAGGGATAGAAGTAGTGAACTTCTGTTCACTGATTGTGAACTATGCAGGGTTCTTAATGTGACTAGCCTATAGCACATGAGGTCTTTTTGTGGTCTCATCCAACAAACGAAATGCTTTTTTATAAGATCGCCATGCCTTTGATTGAAAATTTTTCCTAAAGAAGGGATGAAAATGTCTAAAATGACCATACAATAAAAATCAAGACACTTGTACACTTTTAACACTTTTAGGTAGAGTCAAGCAAAGATATTTTGGCTCATTTAGTTTTGATTCAAACCATGACAGTCCACTTTATTTTGAGGTAGTTAAGTAGTAATCAACACAATGTTAATTTAGCCTGTATAGTTTCTATTACTATTTATTCTACCTACAAATAAAGTGGACTGTTTGTGTTTATGTTTTGAATCGAACTTGGATGAGCATCTTTGTTGTACTATATTATAATTGGTAGCTGAATTGACCTCCCATCTAAATGAAGTGAAATTGATGGTATTTATCAAGGTATATTGATGAAAGCTATATTATCTCCTCAACTTTGACCTCTAGTCCATCTGTAAACATGGTATGTAAGGATGTTGGTGAAGGATATTATTAAATCATACGGTATTAAATTACATTTTATATTTTTAAATAAGGCAATTCTGATTTATATTTTGGGTAATAAACGTAACATAACTTTTATTGTAAGGTCTCAAGTCAAATAGTTCAGCAATAGGGGAACTTTGCTCATTTAACAGTGATATTTCTATATCACACTACAGTTGATGTATTGAGCACTATTTTAACAGCGATATTTCTATATCGCTCTACAAGTGATGTATTGAGCACTATTTTAACTGTGGTATTTCTATATCACACTACAGTTGATGTATTGAGCACTATTTTAACAGTGATATTTCTATATCGCTCCACAATTGATGTATTGAGCACTATTTTAACAGTGGTATTTCTATATTGCTCTACAATTGATGTATTGAGCACTATTTTAACAGTGATATTTCTATATCGCTCCACAATTGATGTATTGAGCACTATTTTAACAGTGGTATTTCTATATTGCTCTACAATTGATGTATTGAGCACTATTTTAACAGTGGTATTTCTATATCGCTCTACAATTGTTGTATTGAGCACTATTTTAACAGTGAAACTAATTTATTATTGTAAGATCTATTTATATGTAATAAATTCCCTTTTAAAACCATTTAATATTTCAATAAGAAATATGTAATAATGACCTGTATAATATTATTATCTATTATTGTATAATATAGGTCAATTACAGGTATATTTAATACTAACTATTGTTATAATATGATACTATAACTAATCTTATTATATTAATCCTTTAAACTATTTATTGGTAGAGCAGGCTAGATATGACTGAATATAATAACTGCTAGACCTGCATTACTAAGATGA